ATAAATAACATCAAACAGCCATCTTCCAACCTGTTCTGCTGCTAGAAATAAGTTACTTTTTCCCCTTTCTCCTTTCCTCCTGCTCCGCAGCTGACGCCCCCCAAGTACGGTTTTAGTGGATTAAGAAAATATCTTTCTTCAAACGGAGGTAAACTATTTATGTTTACCATACTATACAATACCACCAAAGGTCAACCAAAGTAATGTACAATAAAAAGAGACATATCGAGGAGGACGTAACACGAGTTACATAAGTTTAAAGTACAAAAATATTTTGGATGACCGCAAACAGTTGAAAAGATCAAAGCTACGTATAATACACAGAGAGGTTGAGAACCAACTCAAGGACAAGAGAATGCTAGTACTTATAATTTTTCTAACTTTTACACAGAAACCCACTTCAAAATAGTTGAACTTCTCCTTTAATGTGAAGAGATTAAATATGTGTGCATGCTTTCATAGAAAACTGAAATGATTGTTTGCATAGTTTGTATTTTTACTGTGATGCATGAGAAAACTTTAAAAATAGTACGCACATTTTAAAAACATTCATACAAAGAGAAACACACCTGTGGTGCAGCACACAATAAAACATTCAGTCATGGTATCCTCAGAACAGACAAGTGTGGGTCAGATCTGGGATCAAGCTGGTGCTACCTGCAGACTGCTGGCAGGACAAGTGCTTTGTCAACTGGATGTGGGCCAGGTCTGGTAATGATGGCACTGTTTACATGATGACATGGCACGACTGGCCCGATGTGGTTTAGTATATGTGGCCCAAATCTGTCAACACCACAGCTGGACTGCTTGTGGTTTGATTCATGTCCAGGTATAGTATAAATCATCTAAAATGTGAACCACAAACAGAGTATAAAGGGCCATTCATACTCCAACCAAAGCTGAAAAATGGTTTCTCTTTTACGAAAACTGCCACTTTGTTCATGACCCGTGACAAACTTTTTCTAACAGGTAAAAGCGCAGAGTATCGTGTGATTGCTCAGAAGTCTGTTGGCATGTTTGGTTTATGCAGAAACGTGCTCAGACAACAATGGCAGCATTTTGATTCAAATACTCCATTTTCAGCTGTTGTGCATGTAATGATAGTTGTTATTAAAGAAGGGGGCCACAGGGGACGCTCAGAACTGTGAGGGATGTACAGAACAAGACAGGCAGTCTAGAAATAAACAGCTAGCTGAAGCTAGCATAACGATCACTTTAAGAACATTACATGGTACCAGGAGTGGAGTAAAAAATATGAAGAAACACAACAAGATAGATGCAATAAAACCGCCGAGTCTGTTGAAACTAACTGGAAACATGATTCAAGTTAGAGGGCCTTCAAACAACAATTTATGTTCTATATACCTCACAGACCTCAAGATTTAAGCTCAGTCCTGTAATTTTGGTAACCTACGAGATTAAATAGTGTTCAGAATGAACGAGAAGAGGCTCCGGGAGAAACTGTTAAAGGAAACAGATAAAAATAAGTCAAGTCAGTGAGCTAGCAAGACAACATGCGACTTTTAGAGAGCCTGCACAAGGAGGCCACAGAGCAAATTTAAAAACAATGACAACGAGAACAAAACCAATGATAATGAAATGTTCACATGAAGCACAGACCAAGACAATGTCCTGCATGTGCAAAATGTAACGGACAAACCATTATGCAAAACAGAAAATAGTTCAACTCAGTTCTGGTAACCTCAAGGTTCAGAGGTCATCCCATAGGGGTCACTTCATGCTACATATGTCTCTCCAAGAAGAAAGGACAAGAAGTACACGCTGTGCATGGAACAGATGACAGCGACGAGTTAAGTGAAAGATTTTTCATTAAGATGTTGTCACAGGATGAAGATGTTAGCTCACATCTTCAAAAATAAACAACACTGGCCAAACTTTAATACAGTCATGGATGACAAATGCTCCACTGTTGTCAGTGGGACAGTTGTAACATTTAAAATTTACACAGAGGCTAAAGCTAACTTGATCAGTGATTGACTCCATTGGCACTGATTGAGAAGCCTAAAAGACTCAGAAAAAGTCATGCCCCTGAAGGCTTATAATAACCAATAAGAAAAAAGTAGTGTGCACAACTCCAGTACAAAAAAAGGAGAAAGAGTTAATGGGTGCCCAGTTCTGAGGAATCATAAAAATGGGATAACCAGCACTTTCTGCCCTTATTAAAACATTTTGGTATATTTGTAATGCTGGTTATCCCATTCTTWTAAAAACCAGCCAGTACAGACAACAGGTAGATGCAGACTGACTGTAAAAGACAAACAGCATAACATTTTGTTCACCATTGTGACACGAGTCACTCCTATAGACAAAACATCTGGGGACCTAGGACTAGTAAAGAGACTGTTCAAAAAAAGCAAGAGACAGTAAGTCTGACCCATTTGTTTCCTTGCTTGAATTCACAGGGTGAAAAAAACAACAAAACAATGTTGCAAGAATCTGTTTACAGTTTTGTTCAGAAGCTTATAAAGCACGTTGGATCATGTTAGGCAGATGGAGTTTCATTATTCCACAATACAAAAACACAAGTGTCAAGATAAGACAAAGAAAAGCAACACGTTCTGTTTATTGTCTAGAAAAATGTAACCGTGAGGCAAACWGTTTCAGATTTCAACATGCACCAACGTTATTTCATAATGAGAAATCAAAGAGAACAAWCTGTTTCATGGCACTAGCAAGTGTTAGATATAAAGCACACAGACGACACCTAAAGTTGAGTTGGTAAGAAACATTCACGCTAGAAAGAGAATATAAAAAATACTGTTTGTCACCAAATAAAATAACAACAGAATGGCTTCAGAGAGGAAAGCAGCCAYGTCTTTAGTACATGTTTGTTGCGGTTACCTGTAGAGTGCCACAGTCACACTGCTCTCCTCTCTCCACAAAACCATTTCCACAGACTGGAGCAGCCTCAATACCCCTGTAGTCTGGTTTGTYCAACATGCAGCTGGGGTTCCGATCTGTCTGGAATTTTTCATAGGTGCTACTGCTGCAGCTGCTGAAAGTGCGTGGGATTTTCCAGCTGTGGAAGAATAAGAAATGTTCTTAAACTACAATCTGAAAAAAAATGTGCTTTTTATTAATATTTATTTATAAAATCATGACTTTGTTTTTAGACACTGTAAMTCATCTGTTTCTTTTCTCTGATTTGCTTATTGAGGGCTCTTTGGTGCTCTTTTCATGAACATAATGCTCAGTACCATTTTCAGCATTGGAAACAATGTCAAGAGCTTGTGAGGAACTGAAACTGAGCGTTGGAAGAATGTTTACTGCAGCTCTAATCAGTGGGAACTTTTTTTTTTTACACTTCCTCCTATAATAGACGATTGCTTTGGCTRTTATTGCCAGCTTCTAACAAGTTGTCACCTGATCAGCACGTTGACTGAATACTTACAATCCTACGCTGAAAACAGTTAATTGACACAGGTGGATACATTTATATCTTTTTRTTCCTGACCCTGACCGTTTTAGAATGAGTTACTAAAGGAAATGCAAAGAAAAACAAAAAAGCCTCAAGTTTGAATATTGTTACTGCCATATCCTTATTTTACAAACTCATTTGAAAAACAGCTTACAACACAACTACAATAAATAATAATGAAACATACATAAATAGATACAATTTGATTGTAAAATCAAACTTTTCTTATAACATAGTCATAAATAAGACAACTTTTTTAGGGGCAAGATCGGCTGGTATGGGAACCCCTAGGAAGAGCGGCTCAAGCTCCATAAATAGATGGGCGTTCAATATTTTATTACTTTGACAGGGGCTTTCACAACATAAATTCATTTTTTTTTTAAATTTAGTCAACAATTACTTTTCTTTTTCATCTGTTTCTGTTTCTTACTCTTCTCCACATCATTAACCAATCACTAGTGGAATGGGTTTAATCCTGGTTGTGAGAACTGCATTGTAAAAGCCTTTAGGCCAAATTCCAAATCACTCTTTTCTCACTTTATAGAGGTGTCTCTACACCACCATGAAGGAAAGTCAGGATTCTATGATAAACATTTTAAACATAGTAGGAGTTGTGCTAGCTAATTTTTTTAACCAATAAATAGTATAAATTCTAGTTTGTTATATTTCAATGTACTGTGTATAAGGGATAATTGTCATTCTTGTCAAATAAACAAACAAACAAACAAATATTTTATTGTGACAAAATCTTTGGAGGCAAATAACTTGAGACATTATGGTCAGACTCTTTCATGTCTGTTTGACTGTGTAAGAAAGAAACAGGATTCATGGAAGAGAGTGAGTTGTAGTTTACAAAGCTCTGGTACCATCAGCTTTGACCTTCACTGCCCCACATTATTTTCAAACTATCTATTGCCCAAAGACATTTGTCATTTGATTTATAGCTTTACAAAACCAATGGGGTTCTTTTTCAAAAACATGTTACTGATAAATAACACATAAAAACTTACTGAAAAAAGTCTACATTTAATTAAATAAATTAAGGTAAGTTCTTTTTTGTCAGACCTCCTCCACAACACACAGAGTGGAGGAAGCAGTTTAACAGAGCAGTCTCTGCTTTTAGACCTTTGACTGAAGCTCATTACCTCAGGGCTGCAGCCATGATGCAGCTGTCTGCAGAACAAGTACAGGCGGTGGAGTCATCATGGTTCATGCCCAGGTTGTGGCCCATTTCATGGGCCAGAGTTGCTCCCACTGCAATAGCCTGGTCATTGTGATCCTGCAGTAAGAGGTTACAATGCATCAGCCATGTGAGTGAAGTTATTTAACAGCATTTTATGCCAGTTTGAGTGAAGTCTTCACTGTTTGACTCCAAACACATTCTAATAACGTGCTGAACACGTTGTAATTTGTTTCCTGACTACAACAATGATAACTCAAATTTCCATGACAGAATAAAAAGTTAAAGATTTGTAGATGGTTCCAGGTCAATTTGTACTTCGATCAAATTGTACTTAGCAGTTTTGGTCACCACAGATCCATACATAAATTTGTTCTGACATGTCTTTTTGTATTTACTTTAGCTGCTTTGTACCTCTTTAGTAGTTGCTTCAATGTTGATTTATTCCTCTGGAGTACATTTTTGACATATAAATTTAAAAAATGCAATTCAGTTTAAATCAGGCATTATACTCCTAATATTATATGATAATTTAATATATTAGTTAAAAAATTGAACAAGGTTAGGTTGTGTTGTGTCAATACAATAAACATCTCCATCAGTACAGCTCTACCAGCTGTACTGAAAGTCTGTGTCTGACAAGTGTGACTAAAGAAACTACGATGGTTTGGCAAATGTGGGTGGATCATGTCGACCACTTGACCGTGTGATTTACTGTAGCAGAGGCAGCGCTTATGGTGTGCCCTTTGTAAAGCAACTTGTGTGTAAAAATACCAGCTAAATTTTGTCACATTTAGCTTCAAACATGGTTCAACGAAGTATTGTGCATTTTTATGGAGTTAAGCCAGTGACAGCTTATATTGATATTGAAAACGAGATTTGACATTGAAAAATGAAACATTGAAAAACACAACATTGAAGAATTAAATATTGAAAAATGAAACACTGACAAATTAAACACTGAAAGGATTTTGGCATTTTAAAGTTACAATGCCATTCAGACTGGAATCCTTTTCAGGTTGGTGTTACCAATGATTACTAGTAATTTATATCAATGGGTGTTACAAACTTGAACTTGATTAGGTTAAAAATATTTTAATGCATTATTTTTGGAGCAAGACAGTTAAAAAAACATTTTACCCTTGGGTCCATAAAATGAAGTAAATATGTAAATATTTAACTTAAAACCTTATTTTAAAAGTAAAGCTAAATCACTTATATTTAATAATGATAATGATCATAAAAAACAAGTGCTTCACCTATGGTGGAGGAGCATTACTTGAACAGGAACCTTCCATCGGTGGACTGCAGGCAGATGTAGAGGGTGAGAGCAGAAAAACAGAAGGTCCCTGAAGGAGCCTTAGGTTGAGCCCCGCCCCCCAACACTGAAAAATGAAACATTGAAAATATTTTGGCATTGTAACTTTAAAATTCCAAAATCTTTTCAATGTTTTGTTTTTCAATGTTTTATTTTGCAATGTCAAATCTCTTTTTCAATATCAATCTAAGTTGTCACTGGTTTAACTCCGTACATTTTTCTAATGTCACTTTTTAACTAATTTAAGTAATTAAATCTAAATGTAAATGCTAAATGTACATATGTGTATATGTATATATACAGTATGTGTGTGTGTGTGTGTGTGTGTGTGTGTGTGTGTGT